ATCACTTCCCGGCCAGCCTGCAGAATTACTCAAGTAACAATCACATCCTCCCATGGGAGCCGGGGCCACGTGTCCTCTTAACACTGCAACGCCCACCTCCACAGACACGAGGTGTTCACTCTGTTCCTGAGTGCGATCCCCACATGGCCATGTGGTGTGAGGTGGTCTCTTCCCCCAGGCTGTGAGTATGTGTGAACAATAAACTGGTACTGATCTCATCTGTCCAGAGTTAGATGTTAGGTGTCTGGTCATCCATGCAGCCTACGGCAGGAATCCCACACCAATGGGGTAAAGAGGAAACGATCAAAAGATACGGCTTCAAAAACAAGAGGGCTCAACCCTGACCAAGGACACCTGGTCAGCTTTACCTCACTGTCCTTAGCTAACAGTGGTTCCAGGGACACAGTGAAGGCCACTGGTACAGATACACCAGTTGCACTACAGCTCTTCCCCAGGGTAAGAACTGGATGTTAAATGACTATGCCCTGGTGTGACGCATCATCAGGTTCAGCCGCTGTGTGGCAGTTGCTCTCCGAGGCTCCTACCCATAACGGTGGTAACAACACAAGACTGGGACCAGTCAGCACTTGAGTCGACCGACAGCTCAGTGTGTTTAGCCTGGTGAGATCCCTGGCTGCTTGGCACAGACATATACAAACACAGTCTGTGATGATGAGACTGTGACAGACCGAGGGAGATGTCAGCACGGCATAACCTGGGTAACTACTGTCCTGGAGAGGGTCGCTGCCTTGCTTGTCTCCTGCTGCTTCCCTTGCTACTCCCAAGGTCAGTGCAGAGGTACACGTCCACAGTGGCCTGCGTTCAAGCACTGACGAAAAAGGGGGAGGGAGCATTTGGTACCAGCCCCTCCCAAAACAGGAGAGGAAATAAGGCAATTGTTCACCCAGCTTAACTAGTGTCCTGGGCTGTGCCTGGTTCTGCTGCTTACCAGCATGCCAAGGCCCTAATTTTGTGATCATGGGGTTTAATGGACCCCGTCCAGGCCACAAAGAAAATGACTGGATATGGATGCAAACCCAAAAGAATAACATAGCATTTACACTGTATTAGGTATTACAAGTGACTGAAAGATGATTTAAAGTATACAGGAAGATGTGCATAGGGCATCACAATACAACACCTTCCATGCAAGGGACCCCTAAAGGATCAGGAGGCTGCTACGAGGCAGGTTTGCAAGCCCCTGACCCTCACTCTGTAACCACACAGAGTGACTAGACAGAGACTCAAAGTCACATTCTGCATAGCTAGAAATCCAAGATATTCTGAGGAAATCTGTTCAGAGAAAAAAGAAAAGAAGTTAAAAAGCAAGGCTATATAGCAGAGGACGGTTTCAATCCACGTGTAAAGTGACAATTAAAACAGCTTTGTAAAACTACCATTCAAGAGGATCTTGAAAGTAGGCAAGATGGATGGACATTTCAAACAGCATTACATACAAGGACATAAAATATTTCATACAAATGATTAATACGATAATGCAGATAAAATCTTGAGGGATATAACTAAGGAAATCCGTTTAAATTCTTTATCTACATTCACGTAACATTCCATTGTTGACAGTTGAGATTGTTTTGGAGCAATTTATGATAAGGAACAAAGTCTATCTGAGAGTTATCCAAGACGGCTGGAAAACAGAGCGCACACACCAGCAGAATCGGAACACAGACAACACTCGGCACAGGAGAGTTTTTACTTTGAGATAAATTAACAACAGAAAATGCATGGTCAGCCAGGCTAAGCACTCTTTATTCGGCAGGGAACAGAAGAGCCAGTCCAAGAGGTAAAAAAATCTTACCTGGTGGGCGGTGCCTGTGGCTCAAAGAAGTAGGGCGCTGGCCCCATATACCAGAAGTGGTGGGTTCAGGCCCAGCCCCAGCCAAAAACTGCAAAAAAAAAAAAAATCTCACCTGGCTCAGTGCCATAAGTAGCACCGGCCACAAACACCCAAATTGGGTTCGAACCCGGCATGGATCTGCTAAACAATGACAACTACAACAACAACAACAAAAATATCCAGGTGTTGTGGCAGGTGCCTGTAGTCCCAGCTAGTTGGGAGGCTGAGGCAAGAGAATCGCTTGAGCCCAAAAGTTTGAGCTTGCTGTGAGCTGTGACACCACAGCACTCTACCAAGGGCAACATAGTGAGACTCCATCTCAAAAAAACAAAACAAAACAAAAAAAACCTGATATGAAAACAGCTTCTCAACCAGATCTGTGGAATTCCTAGCATAAAACAATGGGCTTTTCCCAAACTAAAAATTTTAAAAACTCAAGATTTTTCCGAACTGTTTTTTCCCCTTTGTTTAAAGACAAATAATGGATTCTGAATCTGACAGAAACTTCCTTCCATTCTGGTTTTGCAAGTGGCATCCTAAAACCTAGTTCCTTATCCTGTACTAAACCACCTCTAACCCCAGGAGGATGCTGCACCTGGATGGCCACAGTCAGCTCTGCCTCCTCAAAAAATGGTCAACTCTGGCACCTCCTGTACTGTCTTTGGGATCTACAATTTTTATTTAGTAGAAAGTGAGAGGGTTCTTTTTAGCTCTGGATTTTTAAAAGATGAGAAATAAGTCATAATCCTTTCTCATTGCCAATTCCACCTCCCAGAAACCTAAAAGGGACAGAGTACCAAGGTAAAACAAGATGGTACAGGGTGTGTCCAAAACACAGGGAAAGACAGCTCCCAGTGAACACTGCGGCCAGGGGCTGGCAAATAGGAACCTCCTGCCAAACAGAAGTAAACGCCCCAGTGCTCCAAAGCAGGTAGCACTACACTAAAAGCACAAACTGTAGGCAATATGGAGAATCCTTACGAGGCCACTCGCGGCAAATTTAAGTCAGTGACAAAAACCTGTTAACATCTACATTATATGTGATCCCTTTAACTTGCCTACAAATTACTACAGTCTTGGTCACCTATTTTAAATTCTTATCAGCAAACCATGTATTGTTAAAAGAACTGACTTCTAATACCTAAATAGAAGTAGGTGTTCTCCTAGAAGTAAGATTCAGCAAGTTTTCAGATTGGCATGGGGCACTGTTTTAGGGAGAGTGGTCTGAGAGACAACAGAATTCATGCCCAGAATAAGAAAGAGAATCACGGAGAAGAGCCCATTAGTTTTCTGGTAAATAGTACTAATTCTGAGATCCAAAAATAAGTATTTTAAAAAATACAAACTTAATTTTTTTTTTCTTTTCTGAGACAGAATCTCACTACGTTGCCCTCAGTAGAGTGCTGTGGCGTCAAGCTCACACAACCTCCAACTCTTGGGCTTAAGTGAATCTCTTGCCTCAGACTCCCAAGTAGCTGGGACTACAGGCGCCC